TCACATCCCAGAAGACAGTAATCTTTAAACGTATAAATTATATTAACTGTTGATGTAATAGTTACTCCATGGACCATAGTTCAGTTAACTAGATAAATTTGAGTAAGGGATTGCAAAACTAAAGTGTATTAAGATCCATTCATTTGGATTAGAAGTTGTCACACACAGGTAGATGGAATGGTGTACACTTTTCAAACAGAATGTAATAATGCACCTATAATTGTAAATTTAATTGCACATAAAAATCTCCTGCTGTCTCGTGAAGTGTTGTTCAGAAACTGATATCTTGTTATTAATTACAGGGAGAAGCTGCTGAGTTAGAAGAGATCCTTGCAAGATGACAGGTGAAAAGAAGGCGGAGGAATGAAAAACCTCTGGACAAAAAGTCGGAGTTACACAGTAAGGATAATATAACTGTTTTATACGTGAAATTATAAGGGCATGAAAAATATGGTTCCCTGCTCATATGAGATTAGTTGATTTTATGAGCTGACGAGCAGAAATTCACAGTTGTCATTTATATTAGGAAGTCATGACTAATTTTTTGTATGCTATGAGACTGTTTGCAAGAAACCAAATTGCATCAGATAAATTAATTTTAACTCCGCAGCACGCGGAAATTACATGACCCTAATGTTAAGATAGCATCAAGAAATGTATGAGTGTGCTTGCTTTGAATTTCCTCATGGAAAGCACACCACTCGTGTTAGTTCCATTTCTTTCCAACACGTCAGTTCCAAACACGATGCATTAACAAATGCAGTCTGCAAGAGTGCACAAAATTTGTTATAAATTATGGAGACAAAATCAGATAAGGAATTCTCTAGAGTATTACTTGCACACTTTCCTTTTGCTGCAATTTGAGTATGTGATGCAATAACTGGATACCCCCCTAGTACATATGCATAACGAACCCAAGAGAATGAGAACATAAAATGAGCTTTATGGAGACTATCCACAGTAGTGCTTTTTGTTTTTTTTTTTAAAGACAGTATTTTGGACACTTGAATCTGCCTCCATCCTCAGATAGGCCTAAACTTAATCCCTACGTCGTGTTACTAGAGCGAACACAAGGCAGGATATATAGGGTCAGTGCTGATGAGCAGACAGAGATCCGTATTGCTGAGCCGTTAATACCTGATCCTAGCCTTTTTGAGGTTGAAAGTGCTATTGCAAAATTGAAACGGTATAAATGGCCAGGTAGTGATCAAATTCCAGCAGAACTTATTCAAGAAGGAAGCAGAATATTACATTCTATGATCCACAATCTAATTACTTCTATTTGGAATAAGGAAAAATTGCCTGGTCAGTAGAAGGAGTCTATTATTGTACCAGTTCACAAGAAGGGTGTTAAAACTGACTGTAGTAATTATCGAGCGATATCACTGCTATCAACTTCATATAAAATTTTGTCCAATATTCTTCTTTCAAGGTTAAGTCCATATGTAGATGAAATTATTGGGGATCATCAGTGTGGGTTTCGACGTAACAGATCAACTACAGATCAGATGTTTTGCATTTGTCAGATATTGGAGAAAAAATGGGAGTGCGATGAGACAGTACATCAGCTATTCATAGACTTCAAGAAAGCCTATGATTCAGTTAGGAGGGAAGTATTGTACAATATTCTGATAGAGTTTGGGATATCCAAGAAACTAGGTGAAACTAGTTAAGCTGGTTAAAATATGTTTAAATGAAACTTATAGTAAAGTCCATATAAGTAAACATTTGTCTGATAAATTTCCTATCCAAAATGGTCTAAAACAAGGAGATGCTTCATCGCCACTCCTTTTCAACTTTGCTTTAGAATATGCCATTAGGAAGGTCCAGGGTAACTAGGCGGGACGGAAATTAAACGGGACACATCAGCTGTTGGCCTATGCCGATGATGTGAATTTACTGGGTGACAGTGTAGATACCATAAAGAAAAACACACAGACTTTAATTGACGCAAGTAAAGAGGTTGGTCTAGAACTAAAGTATATGTTACTGTCTCATCACCAAAATGCAGGGCAAAATCATGACATAAAGATAGGAAACAGATGTTTCGAAAATGTCGCACAGTTCAGATATTTGGGAACAACGATAACATATCGAAACCTGATTGAGGAGGAAATTAAGAGGAAATGGAACTCGGGTAATGCTTGTTACCATTCAGTTCAGAACCTTTTGTCTTCTCATCTGCTGTCCAAAAACATAAAAATTAGAATATACAAAACTATAATTTTGCCTGTGGTTCTGTATGGGTGTGAAACTTGGTCTCTGGCAATAAGGGAAGAACATAAGACTGAGCGTGTTTGACAACAGGGTGTTGAGGAGAATATTTGGACCGAAGAGAGCTGAAGTGACAGGAGGTTGGAGAAAACTGCATAATGAAGAGGTTCATAACTTGTACTCTTCTCCAAATATAATTAGAATGATCGAGTCAAGGAGGATGGTGTGGGCAGGTCATGTAGCACGAATGGGGGAGACGAGGAATGGGTATAGGATATTGGTGGTAAAGCCAGGAGGAAGAAGACCAAGTCATACGTGGGTGGAAAATATTAAAATGGATCTTATAGAGATAGAATGGTATGGATTGGATAGATCTGGCTCACGATAGGGACCAGTGGATTGCTCTTGTGAACACACTGATGAACCTTCGGGTTCCATAAGATGTTGGGAAATTCTTGAGTAGCTGCTGAATTGGCAGCTCCTCCAGAAGGGCTCAGCTCCATTAGTAACTAAGTAAGTCTGTATACCGTAGTCACGAACTTTATAGTCTTATTTTTGCTCTCAGAAGCTGCTAATTTTATTGCAAATCTGCCATTTATTATTACAGGCACAACCACCTGGAAGGAGTGTTGTGACAATGACGACGAAGATATTCTGATTCTGGACGTGGATGAGGAACTCTTAGAAGAAATGGATTCATTATTGAGGGAAATGAAATTGTGATTATAGTTTGATGCATTCTGTTTTGATTATTTTAAGTTAATGGATGTATAGTTTCTGTTTAATGAATGTATTTATTCTGTCCTGATTATTTTAAATTAATAAATCTATAATTGTTATATAAAAAGAAACCACGAGTCCATCATTTTATTATAACACTCAGATCTGTCAGTGCATGATCAAGAAAAATGACGACCATATGCTTAATTAGTTAAGCACTATGCCA